GTTGTCTGGGTCTATATGTTATATATACAGTGTGGTGACAGCCAGAGGGAAAGGGGGGCGGGGGGAGGGGGCAAAAGGGGGATACATGGGGACGGAAAGAGACTGCTTTGAGAGATGGGTGCACGATGCAGTGTGTAGATGATGTTTTGTTTAGTTATATACTTGAAACCTGTAAGGTTCTGCGAACCAAAGTCACCCCAATAAATTCAATTAAAAATAATAAAAATAAAGGCTGCTTCTATTATGAAGTTCTCAATTTCACAAGTTCATCTCACATCCTCTGGGTTTTACAGACTTTCTATATCTAATTGCCTTGAAATCTCCACTTGAAAATCTAAATATAAATTAACATGTTCAAAATATAACTTTTTTATAAAAATTCAAACCTGTCTCCTCCTTCCTTTCTATCCTGTCCTCTCAGCCCTCCCCATTTTAATAAATGACACCATTATTTACTCAGATGTTTAGAGTTAATAACTGGTGAGCCATTCTTCATTGTTTTCTTTTTCTCAGCCTCCATTTCTTATTTATCAGACAGTACTACTGGATCTAGCTGAAAACACATCTTTTCATTCCCACTGTCACCACCCTAGGTGATCCCTAGGTCACCACCATCAATTCCACCCATTTTCCACGAAACAGCAAAAGTGGTCTTAAAATATAAATTGGAGTATATAACTTATCTAGCCTACAACCTTCTAATGTCCTGGAAACCCCTCCCTTAGATATCTGCTTGGTTTCCTTCCTTCCGTTCTGTTCAAAGATGACCTCATTGAAAGGCCTTCTCCACTTATATTAAAGCACAACATCTTACTCCCGCTCTCAGCACTCCCTACTCCCTTGGCCCTGCTTATTTTTTTCACTATGAATTGTCACAATCTGACGTGTTTGCTTATTATCTATCATAACTGGAATGTTAATTCTGTAAGGGTAAGAACATTACCTGACACACAGAAGGAGCTCAATAAATGTCTGTTTAATAAATGAATCAATGAATCCATTCCTGTAGTACTTACAACTAAAATCCAAGCTCTTTAACATGGGTCTAAGACCTTGGAATGAGTGGCTTCTACCTATCTCTCAAACTCAACTTCTGCCACCTTCCTCCAAGCTCATGCTGCTCCAGCAGACCCGATCTTCTCAGTTCCTTTAACATGCTCCTCCTTTCAACTGAAATGCTATTATCCTCTCTCTTGGTGTAGCTAGCATGTTCTTATGCTTTGATTCTCAGCTTAAAATGTCATCTCCTTAGAGAAGTCTTCTCTGACCATCATTCTATTTAGAGACACCTCCCATCCCCTAATTCTATTTCATTTCTTATTGGTTTCCTTCACAGAAATTTTCATAATTTGATATTATCTATTTAATCACATATATATATACACACACACACGTGTGTATATATATATATATATATATATATTAAAATTTCTATCTTCTTCATTTAAGCTCCTTGAGAACTGGGATCAATTGTAGACATTCAATAAATGTTAAATAAATGAATATTTTACAAATTCTGGTAAGAGTTGTGTTTGATTTAAGTTAGAGAATTATTATTTACGGATATTTTTGAGGAGGGGAGAGAAAGAGTGCCTGACTATGTGATAGCCGGTAACCTTGCAATTGACACTGCTGATCATAAACTGGATGCTATCTGATCTATCTAGTCATATAATTAGGTATGTCCAGCAGGAGGGTACCATCAGTAGAAATAAAAGGACCAGAGGGAAGAATATCATGGAAGGTAATTCATGAACACTTCATGTGTGTGCCTATTCCTGCCACACTATCCCCTAGTTCAAGTGGCGGCTGTCAAACTGAGAATCCAAGTGATATGGCAGCATATGCCCATGAACTTTAAAATTACAAGAAACAACTGCAAACAAGATGCAATTACTTCATAATGGCAAATATGAAAGGGATAACTTTTGGGGTTTCCTCATGTTGGAATATTTCACATCAATGATACATATGAAGTATTTCCTAATACTTTACTTATTAAAATTTACTGGGTTGAAAATATAGATGGATAACTCATCTTGCCTTTACTAAGAAATAAATTAGAACATGTATATTCTTCCTTGGTCATATTCTTTCTCTCCATCTTCTTAAGATTTGCCATAGCTTTCTTTTCTCCCCCTCCCTTCAGCTCCATATCTAGGGTCACTTGCTAACTTACCACCACTCAATTGCAGAATGATTTCGATGCTGCCCCATTCCACAGGCACCCTGCTCCAAAGCTGACAGGATAATTGCTCCTGTGCTTACCCTGGCTCCTTCGAATGCTCAAGCTGTCAACACCAGAGTCCTACCCAGAGTACCTGTGCCCCGCCACAGAACACCAATCTGACATGGTACAAGGAGCAGCAACAGGAACAGCACTAAGCTTCTAGCCCAGGGTATTATGGAAAGTAACTCTTAGAGAGATTAAAGTGTTAAAACATCCTCCTATTTTAAGTTGTTTTAGGGGATTCAACAATGGAAACACCTGTTTTACAGTAGGTTTGGTACAATCAGATTGAATTTGCATAATAATCAGTTGCAATCCCTCTGAAATTTTTATTTGAAAGGTGATTGTTTTTAGAGGCAGGGATAAAACAAAGCCTGGGTTGCCTTGGTCTTGAGATAGGCTTGGTGAAAGGAAATGACAATTTCTAGCTGTCCTATTTTAGCAGTGAAACTCTATAAAATAACAGAAGCCATGCAAGTAAATTCTACGGTTTCTAATTAGCCTTTATGAGAAATTTTTGTGCTGACAAAAAATAGAAGACAGAGAAGTAACTTTATACAATGGCTGAGCTGTCCATAGTTCCTTTGGTCTATGAAAAAATGAAAATGAAAAAATGAAAAATGAAAAAATATAGTACAGTTGTACTGTACCTGGGAAGAGCACATGAGGTTCACATTTGAGGTTAATGTGAGTCACATATGTGCTAAACGCACAGCCCCTATATATATTTTTTGAGCCAGTATCTCCAAATGTGTTCAATAGGCATGTACTTTGTATCTTGACATCAAAGACAAGTTTCCATTTGGAACACTTTTAGGAATGTAACAAAAGAGAAAAAAAATTGAGCTTAGATCGATGCTGCACATAAACTAAACTGTCAATATTCTATACATCTATTTTTTCAGCATTCACCTCCTAAGTCAAGATACTGTTTAGACACAACAGGGTGATTATGTGGGAATGCTAATTAAATAATGCAGGACAAGAAACCTTTTGACAAAATTATTTTGATCTTAAATCATTATCTTGAAAAACATATGGCATGCATATACAACTAATATTAAGAAAGTAATGATGGAACTAGAAAGATAAAATGATTGCTTTCACTCTACTTCAAGGAGCCATGTGATATCTTTTATATGAAACTAATTTTGAGGTAAGCTACCTATTAGTAAATAATGTCATCTATGGTCTTATGCAAGAACATTTTGAAATACTAGTTAACTATCATTAGTTAACATAATACTGTAATACACAGAGTACCATCCAACAAGTCTACTAACCCTAAAGAAGTCATGAGAAGTAGGAGAGAAAATGCAAGCTGTTGAGACTGGATACTAGTAGGTTAGAACACTGTTTTTACTGTTTTCAGGCTGCAGGAAATGAGAAAGGGCAATATGGAGAAGAAGGGAGACCATGCAATGATTTTGTTACTGATTTCATTTACTTTTTCATCATAACTCCAACTAGGGAAATTTATTTTAAACTGGAAAAGTCTAAGAAAGGAAACTCACTATATATAAACCTATGGAGGGAGGAGAAATGTCTACATTGAGTACAAGGAACTATAGTTACAGATTGTGTCATATAAAATGAAAAAACTGCTATTTGTAGAAAGCTTGTAAGATAAAAAGACATCAATGAACTAGAACTAGCAAAATTAATTAATAAAGCAGATGAAAGAGTAATATGTATATAGAATTATATATATATATATATATATATATATACACACACATATATATGGGAAAAAGTGATGTATAAAGTTTTAGATGTGCATGTATGTGTGTGTGTTTTTAAATTTGCTAAGTCTTTCACACAAATTTATAAGAAAAAAACTGTCCTGCAACAGATAAAGCCCGGAGGAATGAAGAGACAAAAAAGAGAAAGAGTAGACAATTAGTAAAAATATATATGAAAAAAAACTTCAAGTACACAAAAATCAAGGCACACATTAAAGCATTAAAATAAGTAACATTTTATCTATATCAATAAATTACAACTGAGGATGTGGTAGAACTGTCACTTTCAAATACTGCTAACTCATACATCAATGGTGATAACATCAAATGGTACAGTCCTTTTGGAAAGCAATTAGCAATATATATGAAAAGTTATAAAAATGTTCATATTATTTGACCCATTAATTTTAAATTTAGAACTCTTTAATGAGGAAATAATTCTAAATAAAAAACCCTATAGTAACAAAGATATGTAATTATTTAATTATAGCAGAAAAATATAGTGGAGTGGTCATATGAGTAAACTGTGAAGATATAAAAATTATAATTGCTTAAAATGTTAATGATGGTTATTACTTGGTTAAAGGATAGTAACAGCTTTTTAATTTTTATATACTTAGTGATTTCTAAATTTTAAAAAATGGTCATGTTATATATTTTATAAAAGGTTAACCTTACAAAATTGATAATGAGTTCCTTGAGGGCAGTAAACACTCAAATATTATGAAAACTTCATTGAATATTAAAATATACACAGGTGATGGTGTTAAAGAGAAAAACTATGGGGATAAATACAGATATAGAAACTAAATATTTAGTGGAAAGACACTGAAAAAAAAAAATCAAAATATTAACAGTTTCAATGTGATAGCATTTCATCTTTCCTCTATTTTTAAAATTTCTGTAATGTTACACTAAGCTTTTATTATACAATAAAACTAAACATAATTAAATAAGTAATTTCCATTACACTACAATACAAACTAATTTCACATGTATATAAAGTAGAAATCAAATATATTGCTTACCTCTCTTTCATCCATATTCAACCACTGCTTTGGATCTTCCTCAGTAGCCAGGAAGGCTATCAATTCCAAAGCTGTAAGACGAGTTTGACGTCTTGATGAGACAAATATCAAGACAGGTTTGGCTGGAGAATGGCTTCTAATTGCTGTTGACAAGTTGTGGAAAATAAAATGGTAAGCCACTCACACTGAAATCTGAATTTATTACAATATCAAAGGGATACATGAAAGCTAATGTAGTGAGTGATTTAAGTGAATTCTTAATTTGGTCATGAAACACAGCATTATTTGAGGTACTAGATGGGCTGAGAGCATATTTGAGAAAGGACAGTAAAGGGAAGGTAGCTGGCCCTGAGGGAGCATATTGCCTGGGACAGGGAAGAGTTCATTTGTTGGTTCTCAGTTCTGTTTCTGAGCTGCTGAGGAAGGAGACACTTAAAAGCTGAGACTCTCCATTAATAACTGTACATGAAAACTAAATCTTAGGCTGCATTTTCTATTTCTGAGTTGGGTTTCTGCTTGCCTGAGAAATGATATCACAGAGTTAATTGGTCCTGGGATATGGAAAGAGAGCCAAGTCCTGCAGGGTGATGAACAGTCTCTAAGAAAAACCAAAAAATTTCCTTTTTGTTTTGCTCTGTTCCCACTAGGTGGAAAATTAAGGGTTTGTATCAGTAAACTAGTAAGAGATAAGCCAGAAGAATGTTTTCCTTCACTTTTCTAAAAAAGTGTAAGGTTTCCAGTAGGAAGACAAGAGAATGTAGAAGACTGCTGAGGACAACACCAGGCCTGAGTCCGTATCTGAGTGACCGCACGTGGGTAGCTGACACACACAAGATTAGATGATAGTTTGAAAAAAAAAATACTTAAAGAGCCACATATATCATCTGACCTAACGAAAAGTGAGGTTTCTTTGCTATAGACAGGCTCCAAAATACTGGTAAAATGACACAAGTAGAATTAATACTCATTTCTACCTAGCTCTCTTAAAATAGAGATATTTAAATTTTTTACATGAGAAAGTCCAACTTGCTTGTAATTTCTTGTTTCAAATGTGAGCTGTAGAATTTATTTTTATGGGCTAAGAAACAAGGTTTGTAATGGAAATGTTGATATGACCTTGACTATGTTTATACTCTAATAGTGAGAAATAAAGCTATCCTAAGGTCATATTTCTAAACTCAAAGAAATATAGTGATTCCTTACAGGTATAATTAAGTAGTTTATAAAGATAACTGCTGTGCCGATACCACACCTAGAGCAGTGTAAGTATTTCAGTTATTTACTATTGATTTACACAATGCAAGATGCTTCATTCCAATCATTGGTATGCAATCATCCATTCCTTAAATAAATATAAGCAATCTAAATAATACATACTCTAAAAAATAAACTCATTTATCTTCTCACTCACAGTTTATCAGAATATTACAGAATGAAAATGGCAATGCTTTGATAAATCATATTAGAGATACAATGTTTAAAATACACGTTAGTACAATATTGGTATCGTTTGTACACATAACAGTGAATGAATGTCTCTTTCTTAAACCTCACCATTTAATGGATTTTCGCTGCTGCAAGAACAGGTGTGCCTGAACAGCGCATGGCAGATTTATTGTTCATTAGTGATTTTGTACAATGCTTCTGTGGAGGTGTAAATAATCTGAACTGCCAAGATTGGTCTCTAGTTTACAATCAATACTTTGCTTCTGTCATAAGGCTAATTACAGCAGCTAAAAAGTCACCTCACAACTGTCACCTCACTATCAACAGCCGTTCACATTAGAGAATTTATTTTGGAGGTTATTTTTAATTGATATAATAAATATTCCTTATGCAGCCTAAACAAAACATGTTTCTATAAAATAAGAGTGTTATTCTTAAATCTTTTCTGCTTGCCTAATTTACAAAGGGAAAAACAAAAAACAAAACAAAGAAAACAGAAGCAAAAAAAGTACTGAGATTTGTAAGTTTTATGGATTCTGGTAAAAATTAAGATTGTGTGATTCTGTTTTTTACTGTGGCTTCTATTTATCATTTGCTCAAACTACATTAAGAAAACACCCTAACAGATTTTTGGGTTGATTTGATTACTATTTAAAAGTGTATACATTTATCCTACTACAAATATCTTTTTTATAAATCTAATTTTCAATAGTTAATTCAACATATATTTATATCCTTAACAGTTAAGGTGGAGCAGTACCGCCCTTTCAAAGAAACCCAAATTACTTAGAATGCATTTAAAGGCTACCACACAAAACAGTGGCTATTCATTACAAGAACTGAAAGCTTACCCTGAAACGTAGGCTTGTTCATACTAGCCATACGAGGACAGTAATGCTGACCCGGGAAGCCCTGAATGTGAACTTCCAGTGGAACTGGGCGTACTGATGGTCGGAAGTTGAACAAGCCCATCTAGAGTAAAAATGAGAGAGAAACCACTTTCAGTTTTTACAGTTAAGTTTATCATGTTATAGTGCTTCCTTAATGAGGCCACCTAAGCCCCATTATTAAATGCCTGGTTTATTGATCTTCCACGTACCTGACGAATATTGAGCCAGTCTGCAAGGTCTCTGGCATTAGCTAATGCAGTGGATAGTCCAACTATTCTAACAGGTTTTTCTGTGTGCGATGAGATGAAATTTGTTCGAGAGACAATGACTTCTAGAACAGGGCCTCTTTCCTCCCCTAGGAAGTAAGAACAATGCACGTTACTAATTTTAACAAATCCTGATGTTGGCTGATACAGGTACAAGAGCCAAAGTTTGTAAAATGGCTTCCAGTACAGTGGTACCCACCAAGCAGATGGATCTCGTCTATGATGAGAATTGTGACTTCCTTTACATAGTTCCTGTTTTGCCAGCTTCTGCTGACTCCATCCCATTTCTCTGGTGTGGTAACGATCAGGTCAGCTTTGGCAATGGATTTCATATCAGGAGTCACATCCCCTGTTAGTTCAATAACTCTGGAGAGGAATAAAATTATCCCTTTAATGTTTCAAGTAACATATGACTTTGGAAAGGCAAAAATATATCTTTCAAAATAAAATTTTATAATGCTAAAAACTACTTTATCTCCCTTTGATTTCTGAAATGTTCTGTGAGTTGAGTCCCAAATATGTATTTTAAGAATTTTAAGATGATTTCCTCCCATAAAATGAAAGACATAAAAAGTCAAAACACTAACGATCTAACTTTTACGCAGATATGAAACGTGTCAAACTTTGCTCTATGTTTACAAAATCTCTGCCCATGTGATTTTAAAGAGATGAACTCACACCTCCTTCTCCATATGTGGGAAAAAACACCTTTCCAATGAGGGAAAGTGTTACCTCATTAAGAGGAGACATTAATTAAGAGTATGATTATGTGTAAGCTTCATTTCTTAGGTTAAAATTTTCTGTATAAATTACAGGCTAATTCAAACATATAGGACATAAAGAGGAAAGCTGGGGCAAATATGTGCCACCTCATTATGAGCACACCCAGTTTTATAGTGAAAAAGAGGGAAATCTGGAGGTGAACTGAAAATTTTAGGAAATCACTAAATAATTTTTACATGTTTTAACACACACAAAAAATGGGCAAGATTGGTTACTCCTAGTGTAGTGTTCCCAAAGTGTTTACTTATTTTCACTCAATTTTACTTTTACTTATTATTTGGAATATGTAGTGCACTCATACGACTCAAAGAATATGTAATGAACAGTCTCTGTAACAGGTCTATTCTTTGGTCACCCAGTTGTCATTCTGAAGCAACCATGTATTTATATTCTTCACCATTTTTCTAAAACTAAGGTAGAATACTTTATGTAAAACATTTTTAACAGTATCTCTAAAGATCATCTCTTCAAAATATAAAAAGCTCTTTCTTTTACATAGTGAAACAATTTATTTTGTGTGTAAACATAATTTATTTAGTGGACTCTTGAGTTATCTGCAACCTGGCTATTAAAAACAATACTGCAATGAATAACCTCATGTAATACTTAACTATTGTTTAAAAAGTAATATCCTTTAAAGAATTTCTACTGTTTGGTAAATTATCCACATGTAAAACGCCTTCTAAGCAGTTTTGAAATGGTATGAAAAAATATTTCTTATGCTTTAGATTTAAAATTTTTGAGAAAATTATCTTGCCAATAAAAGTATTCAAATTAAACAATTTAAAGGATTTTATCTTTCAGTCTTAAAACAATGGGAATATTGATAACATTTTAGTAGTAGTTACAATACCTTTAAATAAAAGACTATGGAAATCACTGTAAAAGCATTCATTTTATGCATATCTTTTATTTGTTGATCCCTTTAGATTATCCAAAGAATATCGTTTGAAAAAAATAAGAACTTACTTTTTACCAAGTTTTTCTTCTATTCTAACTTTCCAATCATCCATTCTTTCACGTACTAGAGCTTTTAGGGGTGCAATATATACTGCCTACAGGCGGGGGGGCAAAAAGACTCTCATGAAAATATGTTAGTAGTTTCAAATAAAGGTAAACTCCATAAAATTTATCAAAATATGACAGTGTGGTTTTAAAATGTATCTTTTAATACTGAAAGACTTAAAATTTTAAATTAATGGGAAAAAGTCATTAACTTAATCTACACTTATCCAAAGTAAGACTGAAATATAATACATCATGAAAATATTGACAGAAAATTTTATGTATTTTCTAAAAAGCACCAAAGGTAATTTTTTAAGAAGTATTTTTTTACAGTAAAATTATCTTCTAACATAATGCAAAAAAATAAGAAATTTATGAGATAATATATTAACTGAGAAATTAGGGGTCAGATGAAATAAGTTTTCCTGGAATTATAATCAAGAGTTATATGAGTTGTAACTTTTTTTACAAAAAAGCTACTAATTTTGAAATTCAGAATAGAAATAATCTGCTTATTTGACTTTTAATGTAGATTTTTATGGAAGATGTCAGTTATACATCTATTTTAGGTGTTTATGTCTTTTATTTTTTTGAAAAACAACTGGTCCTAATAATCCAAATTTACAGATTATTCACTGAAAAATAATTCTTTCCTTTCTAAAACGTTTCAAATTTAGAGTAGAGCTCTGCTGGTATATTAACAAGTCACCTTAATCGATTAACGATCATGTAGTAGACAGAGAAATAGGAAAACTAAGCAAGAAAGAAAAGCCACTAATTGGAAGTCACTAAAAAAGGAAGTTAAAACATTTCTGAAATCATAAAATCACGAAAATAGCACATAATTCCAATCACAACATATGAATTAGCTTTCTTAAAAAATGTTTTTAAATTGTGAGTACTTCATGTTTCAAGAACACTTAAAATCAATGCTTATTTGACTTGTCATGTTATTTTACATTACATAAAAATATGGTCACTTAGAGAAAAGTAGAATAAAAGCTACCTCTACATTCCTGTGTATAATCAAACTGTATTTGTTAAAGTATTTGTATTTCCTTCACAGCCAAAGACTTTGGATTATGAATCATTATATATCTTATAAATATGGCTATGAATTAGGTATCTTATAATGAAATACCAAAAAGTATAGATATCTTATGATGAGGAAAGGACATCTGAGGACCAATATGTACATTATAAATCTAACTTGACTCCAAAATTTAAAATAAATTTTCTTGTGGCCAGTTAT